GCTTCCATTCTGGAGAGTTTTCAGCTTAAATACAGGATGTGGATAGGAGAAGTAAAGTACGAAAATGTAGCAACAAGGGTTCTAGCTAGTAATCTAGTAATGGCAGCAAAGTAGAAATGGTTCTTGCTAGTAATCCCCAACAGGGGAATGTCTCATGAAACTATGAGAAGAAATTAACTTGCCATGTCCACACCACCATCTTTCAAACATTCTAAGGTCTGCTTATATGTTATCTATATGCAGCCCTTAGGCTTAGTGATGTTCTGATGTGCTAAAAATATCCAGATTTGTAGGCAAATGTGTGCTGGATCCACCTGAACCTTTTGCTTTACAAGCTTGTTTTCCACAGAGCAAACCTGTTTGCTTTACAGGGCAGCCTCAGGTCTCATCCCCATAATACGACATCATCAATAGGTCAGCATGAAAAGCAGGGTGATTATAAGAAGTTGAGCAAAGAACAATTAAAATGAATTAACATTCATAACATCTCATGAGCATATAATCAATAATCAGTTTTCAAAACAAATGAGAGGAAAAAAAAGAAGGACCCTTTAGCCTTTGTCTACTGGCAAAGAGTCTCTTTCAACAAACATTCAAGGCATATGAATATCCCATATTCATATGGGATAAGTGCTAAATTCTGTTTTTTAAGTCAGTGCTATATTCTGTTTTATTAAACTGGTTAAAACCCAGAGTATTTCCAATTGCTTCAAAGGCATTATTTGAATTCATAAGAGTGTAAGTAAGAACGTGGCGCAATGCACTTAGTTCTGGGATGATAGAGAATGATGACTCCTTTATGTATGCTAGAAAATGAAGGGATACATATGCTCAAAGAATTCATTTAATAAGTATCATAAACACTTTTACAAATAAAAGAAGAGGAATTTTAAGCTCAACCACATGGAATTTTTATCTTTACCTGACAATCTCATTATTCACAGAAACGGCTTCCAGGTATTTCTTCAGGGCATAATAGTTATGGGTATATTTTCGAGCATAATAGCCTCGCCATCTTTTCTGAATCTAGAACAAATAAAGAAATTGTTTAGTACTTGATGTTTAGTACATCAAAGGTTGGTAATATGTATATCAAATATTTGTTGCATCTCTCAAGGGTTTTACCAACATAAAAAATACATCAAGTTTTTGCCATTATTTATTTCAGGCATAGTCATGAAAAGAAATGTTTGCTGCTGCTGGTAGCATTCTTTTATAACAGAATGATGAAAAATAGACCTGTTTCACTGCATTCCCAAATGCATTCATGCATTCCCAAATGCACCAAAGTTTTCTGCTACATTCTCAGCTTCATCCTCTGGATATCATCTAAATCCAATGGAAGCCTTCCCAGTAATCAAGAATTAGGCTTTCTGAAAATATATTTTTCAAACTGAAGTTCTTTCATTTTCCATGCAACATAAGAGTCTATGAGAACACTAAGAGAAAAGACAATCTGTGTCTCTGTTATACATTAATTATAGCCTTCTAACAACATACAATTCTTCCTGCATAACAGGTTATACTTAAGCTGAAAAAGGAAAATTCTTTATCTGCAACAAGCTCTAAACTCCACTTAAGTTCATAAATTATGTAGCATCTTTACAGGACAAAGGCAATGCAATTTAAAATATAAGATTCAGTTTAGTCTGATTTTTTTTTTCAGAATTTGTCAGAATTGTTTAAACCTTCTTGGATACTTGAGAATGTTCCTATGATCATGATACTATGATCATGATGTTTCGGAAGTGAATGCAGGCTCTCCATTTCATGGAAAAAGAAAATAAACCTAAATTGTTTAAAGAATTGGAACTACTGCCATTTCATTGGCTAGCCAAATTCACCCCTATGCCATGAGATGCACTGATGCAGGTGGAAACATAACTTCCTCAGTCAATGCTGAGGACTGCTCTCACTCCTCATCTTCCAACAGATCAGTGAATGCTAAATCAATATATCTTATAAATAGTTTAATGACTTTTTGTTATGTTTTGTTTTCACAATTTCCTCTAACTTCCTCCATCCTTGAACTGATTGTCTTAGGTAATACTCTTTATTTTCTTCCTTGCATTTTTGTCTTTTTCTTTTGTCAATATATTTATAAAACAATTTCTCAGTTTCAGTCTTCCAGTCTCTATTCACTCCTTCTCCAGCTTTCATCTCTTTGACCTTTACAGTTTAGAAATCTTAAGACACATAACAGCTAAAAGGCATAATCTACTACATGAAAAAAGGTAAAAAGCCTTTTGATCGAAGCACTATTATTCAGGAACAATTCCAAGAGGAGAAGCTACTTTCTGTGTGTGGTGAAGAAAAGAAATTCTGAATTTAACAAGATCTCTCCTTTTCTATGGGCCTCTGGCTATTAGACTTTTCAAGAATTGCAACTCATCAGTAAATCTACAGTGAAGACTTTTGTTTTCCCTTTGCGATAACCCTTCCCTTTCCAGAAGCAGCCTATGACTGCAAAGGTAAGTGGAGTAAAATCCACAAGTTTTGCACTCTGTCACTTCATTGCCTGCATCTTCAAATTTTGAGAGAGCTCTTAAGTAACTGTCAAAATGATCTCTGCTCTTTCCTATTCCAGTGCAGTCATTTCTGTACAGCTACGTAGGTGCTACTGCAGTTGTCCACGTGCTGCCATTTCCTGAGCTGAAAGTAGTAACAGAACCACCAGAAGCAGCTATCTGCAGGCAGAGTTGCATATGTTCAAAACTTGTGTTTGGTACCATTTTTAATGGCAAAAGCCAAATTATGATTTTTTTAAAGTATAAACAAGTGTTTGGTCTAAATTGACAGTTCCTGAATATACAGCTGTAATCACCTCTTTTCATAACACTAAACAAGAGAACAAGTAACACATCACATGTAAGCTTTTAGTAAGTCTTTGAGCGATGCACCATTAAAAAAAATAAATTCATGCACTAGTTATTAGAAATAGCAGGATGCTATTTCAGTGCTAGTATAGCCTTACTAATATCCCCTTTCTGCACTACCATCCGTTTTCCACTCTTCTCAACTGAAATTGAAAATTAACTTAGGAAATTGCTATTTTATTTTATCTGTGTAGTTTTTTTTAATTTATTTTAAAAGTGTTTGTACTACTAAACATTACTGTAATATGAACAAATAATAGTTATGTGAGCAGCTGCACACGGGAGCAAGAAAACATAAGCGTTAGGTGTGCAACTTTGCACTGTGTGGTAGCAAATTTAATGTTCTTTGCAACTCCATTTTCTTATACACAAGGGTGTTGGGTTAAAAAGGGATAGAGCAAGAGCAAAGAATGAGTTTGCCTTTAGAGATCCAGGATTAACCAAATCCTTTGCATGTGAATAAAGGTCTTAGCTTTGTTTTTCTCTTTGGCTTCAATATTGCTAGTCAACAAGAGAAAGTTGGCTTCCATATAGCTGTGCTCTCATTAATGCAGGATTAAGGTCCCTTTGAAACTCTTTCTGATAGTCTTCACCTTACAGCTACAAATGCAGAACTGGATATTTGTGGGTTAAAGGATCAAAATTTTTAAACCAAAAGACAAAAGAGCAAGGTAGATAAAGCTGTAATTCAGTGGGCTCTGCGTGCCAATGAACTGTCGCATTCTGCCTTTATACCACTGTCAGTTCAGAATCAACTCACTGATTTTAACATAATAAAACAAAAGTAGGAAGTGCATTATGCCTCAAATTACTTTATTTTAGGTTTCTATTACCCTAATTCTGTGTGTCAGAGATCAGAAGACTGAAGATTAGTTTTTCCAGAAAAGGCAATTTTACAGAAAGATTCCAATGATATTCATATTTTCAATAAGGAAGTTGTAAGTTTTTGCTTTTATAAAGAAGTGTAATATGTTATGAATATATTTCTTTTTAATTCCAAAGTGAATGTTCAAAAAATTCTTGGGGGCAAAAGACAAGTGTGCATGCCCTTCAAAGTAATTAGCAAGTTTCAACAGTGATTGGTACAAAACAATTATTGTCATTGATCAGCACTGAACAGATAATTTTAAACAAAGTCATTGTGTGCTCAGCAGATTACAGCTTGTTAACGGGCAAGTTCTAAATGACCTCTTAAGCTAGTCAAATCAATGATGCATATTCCTCATTAAGTAACATCAAAATGTAAGTGGTCTTATAAATAATGTTTATTTTAAGCACTAAAACAAATGGCAAAACCTTGATATATCAAAAGCCATCTGCTCATGGATTTTTTTTCCTGGGATTACTTTTGTTGCAGGAAATTTATAGCAATCTTAAATCTTTTAAGGGATGGAATTATATCGCAACCCAGTAGTCAGAACTAAAACCGATTAAAGCAAGTTCTCTATTTTAATTTAAAAAGTTGAAATTGATAGTTACAAGTAAATGCAATCCAGGGAGGCAGAGGTATAGACTGACTTCTAAGTTATGACCATGTGTTTTTGCCCTCAATGATACTTCTAATGCTGAAATTGAAAGTGCCTTTCTAATCAGTGACTGGAAACTGAACTAAATTGTTCAATAATGTTATGAGGCAAAACAAAATAGTCAGAAATGCATACATCAGCTATTGCTATATTTTCAGAACAGTGGAATATACTAGTTGTGAATCTAATTCATGGTGTGTGAATGTGAAGCGTTATTGGCTTAGAAAACTTGAAGTCCAGCCTCACATCTTCCGTGCACAAACCTCACAGGTTTTATCCTCTGCTATACTGTACATTGATTAGTTCTTCAAAAAATGGATGATACCAAAAAAAAAAAAAATTTTTGATTCAGAATGCTAGCTTTTTAAATTAGCTCTGCAGATATGGGTGTACAGGATTTAGACAGAGGAAAATCAGATTCTGACATTTGTAACTAAATAAAGATCTGTTCAGTTGTCTTCTACTGGTAAATTGCTATTAAAGAAAATGATATTATTGAAAACAATGGCACTTTGAAGATTTATATCAGCTAAAGATTCAAGATTATATTCCTATTACAAATGAATGGGAACATACTCAATTTCTTTTAAAAATGAAAGACCAAATGCAAACTTCATTCAACTAGAATACATAATTGGGTCTTGAAATGCCTCCTGAAAGTATACAGACAATTTCTGAGGCGGCTTACATCTTGAGCTTTCTCACTGATTTCTAGGGTATCAGTATACAGCATATACACCTTCTGTGAAATACTTTTAAATCAGCTAACAAAGGAAATATCTAGATCAGAAAAAGTCAATTTCTGAGCAATTAAATTGCTGCTGAATGCCTTCACCTAACTTGGCCTAAATGTAAGATTCTCTTTTGTGCCTTTGGGAGAAATAGCACCAGATCAAAATCTTGGCATGAACCTAATGTTGCATGTCTTGATAGATAGAATTCATGTAGAATAATTTCGGTGCCAAAATAGGTACCAGAAAGGCCACTGCAAAATTCAGTCTTGTCTGGGGTGTCTTCCTAACTTATAGGAGTTTTCCTGGGTTGCTCTTCATCCTCATCCCCAGATTTTATTGAATTCAAAAGGTAGACTACGGCTTTTTATCTAAAAATAAACAGAAGTCTTCCCTAAAAAAATAAATAAGCCAAGCCCCTAAATTAAAGCAGTTCTTTTCTACAAAATCAAAGAAATAAAGAAGGTAAAAGCCATCAGGTTCCTATTTGTTTTATAGGTTTATTTTAGTGCAGTCCCAAATTCCAGGAAAAAAAAAATGATGATTTTTAAATAAACACATTTTGCAGTTTTCTCCATGATAAATATATGTATTTATTTTATTTGCTATATATTTATTGAAGTTCAAGGACTCTTCTTCATCTAGAAAAGGCACTCATAATAGCATCAATGAGATTAGTACAGTTCTAACTGTGTTTAAGGACTGAACTTATATTTTGCTATCTGAATAAACCTTTTGAGATTCAATACATGATAATAAGGTACTAACAAAAGAATCATAGATACATCAACTGACATGAAAGTCCTACAGTTTGTTAGAACTGTAAATATGTGCCTACATTTGTTAGGGTACTCAGATAAAATATTTGTTTGTTTTATCATTATCATATATGGTAAGGTACAATGAAAATCTGAATGGGGCAAGACATACATGAACGGCTTAAATTCAGCTAGAGTTTTCAAATACCTGCCAGATTACTGAGTATAACTTTAATTTTTAACTATGTACTATTTCCCGCTGTTACCATCAGCATATCAATCAAGTGTATATTATTCTGGTTTGCTCATTTTATTAAAAGCAAATTCGGAGCACAATTGACTTTTCATTTGTTTAACAAGTGAAGAAATATTTACCCTGACAGCCATTTCATTGTAGAAATTCATCTTCATAATAAAATATGCTGTCTGTGAATCAAGAAAAAAAAAAGATGGCATATATTTCAGTTACACAAAGACAGTGCTCCTATTTTTACATATAAAAGATAGGAATCTTTATACATAATACATAATAAGAGTTCTAGGCTTAGACAGAATAAAATCAAACTTTGTATTGAAGAGATAGGCTTCCTAATACATAATGCAGGCTTAACCAGAAAAATCTATGGTAGTCAAACTAGGAGCTAATGGAGATATATGATCATAAAATGCTCTCCGCTGAGTTTGATAATCAATGGTGCTCTACTGAGAGTAGAATAACAAAGCAGAAATATTCACAAGTGCTGGTGACACGTAGTATTGTATGATTTATTCACTGGGGTTCTTTTAGTCAAAACTCACAGAAACATAAAAGGAATTCATATTTCAAGACGTCTGGTTTAATGAAAAATTCAAAGAAATGCTGTCTTCAGTCGAAACCATTCAAGGATACGGATGCAGTGATGGAGCAAAATTGTGCCTTCCAACCATCTGTACTAAATGTTATGTACTTAGCTGCCTCCCGAGTAATCCTTGGGAATTTTGTTTCATTTAATATTCATTTTAACATCATAAAATCATAAATACAATGATATCATGTTACAGTGAATCCCCTGATATAGAAAACATTTCCTGAAGTTCTGGTTTCCTTCCAATAAAGTAGAATTCCTCTCCTAGTGAACGAATCCCCTATTATACTAAGCAATCACTTGGCAGCATAGGTTATTTTAATGGATACATCGCTTTAAACTAAGCTTTCACATCTGTTCCGCCCTCTAATTACAAATGCAAAATGAACATAATTCACAATTGTATCATAAAAAGTAAAATATAAGTACTCTGAATGCAAGAGTATGTCCTTTATTTAGCACAACATGCAGCTTTTATGTGTTTCTCATGTTTTAGACACAAATCAAAGGCAAAAGTGCTTTCCCCTGATATAGTGATTTTCTCCCCCATGGCAAACAGGAATTCTCTATAAAAGGTTTCACTGTAATTAGTGTTATTTGAATTGCCTAGCCTGATCCAAAGCAAATTGTCTGTGGAGAGCAGCAGGACTGGATTATTTATCAACAGTCTGGGCAATTAAGAAACAGTTGGCTGCAATATGTTATTTACAAATGAACACAATGATGCTACTTCATTTTAAATTCTCTTTCTTCATTACATTAAGCAAGGCATAATTCCTGCAGTTTAATTAAGGTGCATTTAAAATGTTTTCTTTAATATCACACAGTTCTAGTAGTAATGCAAACAATAGAAAAAAATACATTTTTTGTTTGAAAGAAGAATGCAGGATTGCTAAATTAAAAAAAAAAAGTTTCTTTTATATATACACACACACTTATACATATATAAAAGAGGAAATCTTGGTCCCAAAGGTATGAATTAGAAGAATTAGTGGCCTCTTTCACTTCTCTCTCCATAAATGTTTTCTGAGTGATACTATCTGTATGCAGCTAATTTGGCAATGAAATAATGGTTGCCGGGCCTAAGTACCTTCTGAAACTGTGATATCCTTTTGCTCTGCAGCTCCTCTTTTCTCTCTTTGTAAGGGAATGCAAGAGTTGTGGCACCACCAAATAGATAAATTGCATTTTTAATTGAAATTCCTATGCTTAAAAAATGACCATTGGATTTCTGTCCATCAAATGATTAAATTAAACAATCTCACTCTATTTTGTTTATTCTTCTTGTGTTTGAAGGGTGTATGCACCTATGCCTGAATCCATCCTATTTCCCTGAAGCACCTAAGTTACAGACGTATTAGCATTATGTTCTTTATGTCACCACACTGAAAGATAAGCAGGACCATTTGCACACTCAAGCTTTCTAAGATTTGAAGAGCTCTGTAAATGCATCTCCCTCTTTTTTTTAGAGAGATAGTCAACGGCAACAAGGCTCCTAGCTAAGATGCTGAAGCTAGGTGTGACAAATTCAGGTCTTACTCCAATTCTACTTAACAACGTCACTCACATCAGAAATGTGAGCCAAAAGGCCTGTGTGGCCATCTAGTTTCTTTTGCAAATGGATTTACCCTCTGTTTTCTAATCTTAATTAGAATAAAATGTGCTAATTCTGCAATTACAAGTGCTTAAGGATGTATTCATCCTTATTCATAAAAGCACTGACATAACTTTGTGCTTCATCTCAAGTCTATAGTTTAATGTCTCCCCAGTAAAGACTCATTTCTGACCTGGAGCATTCCTGTCCAGTTCTACACCACTGTTTGCACTTAGCTCTGATATTAACATATAAGTCTTCCCAAAAGATTATTCCAAAAGCAATGATTCCAAGATGGATTTGGCCCTTTCATGCATAAATTGATGTCCTTCCATTAATCTATTCTCTCCTTTTATTCTCTCCTACAATTTAAAATTATATTTGGGCTCCATCTATGAAAGAAACATGATCTGCTCCTGGTAAGCATTTCTATTCTTTACATAGAAAATTTAAAGTGACCGTTTCCATGAAGAAGGAATTGGACTGAGAGAAGACTGAGAAAAGGCCTGAGCTGGGAAAAGCCATTTTTTATACAGTGAATAGGCATTTGCCTATGTGTTTCTAGTGGATTGGGATTATTTAAAACTGGTTACTGAGTTGAAACTAAAATATTTAATATACTACATCAACTATCCATTTTTTTTCAAATGCAGCTCCTTCCAGAGTGAGTTGAGAATATGCCATCTTGCATATCAACCTCATAGAACCATGAAAGGTGGAATTCCATTTGCCTCAACTGGTGGTTTCTTGTCTTTTAATAAGTACTGTAAAGAGAAACTTTGATAAATAGTTTGATTTATGTTCTGGTGGTTATCTGATTTTAAAATTTATCCTTAAAACTCATCCTTTCCTGCAGGCCACACAAGCCTTTTAGAATCAAGAACTATCAATACAAATATAGCATTAAGAAAACTACTATGAGCTCAATTCTCAATTTTAACTGGAGACTAATATTAAAGATTTCTTTTTTTTTTCTTTTTTAACCAAATTGCTGTTTTAAAAATGCTCTATATTTAAAATATAGACATATAACTTAGGCTTATAAAGATCACAGGAAGAGACACTAAAGGAATAACAAATGAAATACTAGTAGTGAGGCACATATGGACAGCCAATCTGATGAGCCTCAGCCTTTGCTATTTTCCGCATCAGTACCACTCACATTTCACAGTTTTGAATATAATCATTAAAATGATTTATCATCAAGTAATCATGGCTATTTTGTACATATGCTTTGCCTTGTTTGCTGGCAGCAAATACCAATCCAGTCATTATCAGCAGACAAATTTTAAAGTGACCATTCTTTTTGTATTTAAGAAACTATCATGTCAAATATATCTTTGTGTTTCATTATCAGGAATCATCAAAACAGTTATTAAGGAGATTCAGTCCAAATGTTAACTGACCTTTTAACTTAAAAGTTACCTTAAACTGCTGAAAAGATTTTTGTTTCAGTTAAAATGTTATAAATTTAGCCAGGTATGATCAAGTAAAGATTCCACAATGAGGAAGGTAGGGAAATGAAATTAAATATCAAGTTTAGGTTCGATCTCCAAACAAAGGATATAGAATATAGCAGTCTAAAAGGAGAAAAGTGTATCTGTTTATCTGTCACTTACATGGTTTTAAGGTTGCACTCTACGAATGGTTGTGGAATTTAGTCTTCAATCAGAGAGACAGCAAACACGAAATGAAGAATTTTAGGAAAAAGGTTTTCCAATGCTGATTGCTGTACAATTCACAAATTTGCTGGTAGTCTTCAGCTTCTCTAAAGCCCTTGCTAATAGAGGATAACTGTGGCTATCCAGGAACAGAAAGGATCCATGATCTGATTCAGAACACATACTTAAGTGTGGCCTTGCTCTATTTTATGTCCTGTATTGTTCACAGAACTTCAGATTTGGCAAGGGCTTATCAGTTATGTTTATCTAAATAACTACATTTTAAACCAGGTGTTACAGGTAATTATTTTTTTCAGATGCTCTATGTTTTAAAATGTAAAACTGAGGGATTTTTTGATGCTAGTTATTTTAACTTGTTTAATGCAGAGAATTTGTGTTAATTTGAAAGACTGCTTTGTCTTCAAACTAAAGAATATTTTTTAAGATAGTGGACAAAAGAAGAAAGATGTAATAACAAAGAGATGGGTTAAAACAGCTTTGGTGTCATAGAATCATAGAACAGTTGAGTTGGAAGGAATGACCAGTGGTCATCCTGTAATGGGATGCTGATTACAATGTGATATTGCAGGCTGACTCTCTGGTAGGAATCACCTCATCATCTCAGCTACCTGGCACCAGTCAGGCAAGTGCAATGCACAGTAGGCATGGGGGCAATATGTTCTTTCAGCACTTGATTTGGGCACTGCTGTTTTTATAACCCTCAAATAAAAAATGTCTGAACTGGCATTGTTCTGTTTAAAAGAGGAACTTGATTATTATCTATAGTGTCTGAACTGGCATTGTTCTCTTTAAAAGAGGAACTTGATTATTATCTACAAAGAAATTTGAACATTCACTGGCCAAAAGAAAGCTCTTTAATTTTTTTTGTGATTGGAAAAGTATGTAAAGAATCCCATTAGATTTCTGTCTTGCTTAAGTCCTCATAATGACCTGATGATGACACGCCAGAAAGTGACAGGGATTATTCTAATCTTCAAAGCTTGAAAAGCACAGAGACACCCACATCACTCTGCTTCTGAAACATAATGCTTTACCTGAGAAGAAACGTAGAACTTGAGAGGACGTCATGAGCAACTTTGCCTAAAACTATCTGAAGTATATCTAAACCACTCACCTAGGACAAGCATTTCTACAACCTGCTCTTAAAAACCTGCAATAGAGTGGGTTTCACAACATCTTGGTCAATTTGTGTCGGTTTTTCAAAGCAGGTTGATTTTGTCCTTCCCTTTTCCCAGTGCCTCTAAGAGTCCTCTCTTTTTATTAGCAAATTTCAACATCACATTATCACATCTCTCCTCTTCCACAGAAGGCTTTCCCAACTAAACAATCCTTCTCTAAAGTAAGGGACAATATTCAAAAAACAGCCTACTTTTTTTCAGAAGAGAATTCAATCCAAGCAGGTGGTTGCAGGCAAAAATGAGAGTATTGTGAAAGGTAAAATTGAAAAAAAAAAACCCGTAGTTTATTAGGAGGTAAGGACTTTGGCATATAACTGAGCTATTGCTGCTCAGTCTTTTTGTCTTATCCTAGAATGAAAGACAGCAATTTAGCTTTAACGAGACTGATCAAGAATAAATGACATACAAGTTAAAAACTATTGTAATGTAAAATATTGGCATAAATTGATAAATTAGTGAAGTAAACTACTTATTAAAAACTTTATTGTTTTATGCTAAAGGCAAATTAGCTTCTTCTTAATCTCCTAAACCTCTTAACAGAGGTTTTAGCTAGTATGCTATCATACATTTTTGCTATCTTCAAGTCCATAAAGGGAATTAGATTGACTGTGATCTGCTGCATGCCTTAAGGCAAAACCTCAAATATTTCAGGGTTCATTAAGTAAGAAATTTAAACCACTAAAAATCAGAACAGCAATGTATAGAGACATTGGCTTATTTTATTTTAAGAATTAAAAGTTCTGCCAGGAAAAAAATTCAAAAGCTCCAATCCTGCAATTAGCACCATGAAAACAGGCTTCTGCATGAGCAGATCTCATTGCTGGTTTGGGGACTAATGCTCCAGAGCTGCAAACGCTTATGCACTAACTTAACATGACCATCATGAGTAGGCTGACTGAAATTAATGGTGCTTTTCATGATAGTAAAGTTAAGTATGCTTATATTTGAAGACAGGAACAAGTTTCAGCTTTTTAATTTCAGGATGAGTTAATGTGTTACTTTATATCAGTGCTCTAATATATTCAAACAAAAATTCTAAAACTTTTTTCCTACCTCGACCATTTTTCTGAAGTATCTTCTTCCTTGATAACCTCTCCACCACTTCTGTATAACAACTATCACTTTGTTCAAATATCTAAAGTGGAATATATTAACAGTAATTATATTGAGATGTTATTAAAATATAACAACACTATTTTGCAACATTAAAAGTAATATGCAGTGTATTCTCCATACTGAAGCCAAAAAGAGTCATTAAAAAGATACTCTTAAAATATTTGTAGCCATGCATACATTATAGACACTACGTTTGTTTGCCTACCAAACACATGTGATGACTGCATTCAGTGATGACACTCCTGAACCAGCAGTGGCAAACAGATTATCAGTGTTTTTTAGAAAATGCATAGATATGTTGCAGCCTATATTTTAAGATGGAAAAGATGGCCATTAAATAATTAATATTATTTAGCCTAATAATTTGTTAGGATTTTTCCAGTATGTCTGGGTGATACACAATGACTTGTGTAAAGCAAGAAGTTCTACTAGGTGATATAAAAATCTGGCATAGTACTAAATTTTATGAAGATAGGAAACTCTAAGCAAATGAGTAGACCAGTTAGGCTCATGGGTATAAAATATATAGAAGAGCCAAACTTCTTAATCATTCAATTATATTATGTTAAAAAAAATGTAATATACAATATTTCAGAGATCAAACTATTTCTTCAATGCTCCTCATCTCAAAAATGGAGAAAATTATGTCAGAAAAGATTTTTTAAAATGACTTGGTGAAATCCAGGGGTAAAACTTTTCTAAATAGTTAAATATTCGTATAATAAATAGTCCAGCTACTAGGCACTTACTAGGCAATTTTTCTGTAATGTCCACAATGGCTAAGAAATGTCCCTACATACAGTATATGTGAGGTTATGTGAGGTACATCTTTTTTTTTTTTTCTTCCAGTCATGACAAGTTTCTTAAACAATACTGCACATCTGTCTTGAAATAGTGGCTATTTCCATGCCACTTACCAGTGTCATGGCATTTTAATTACATGAAGTCCTGAAAACCAATTTTTTTTACAGCATTACAGCATATGTTTACAAAAGCAGAATAATTGTTAGATTTTTTTCAATGCTCCCATTTTTCTTGAAGCCAAACAGTATCATTTAGGAAAAAAAAATAAGATTTAAGTACAGATTAAAGTCAGCTAAATATACTACCTGATATAGGCTCGGACTCTGCATCCTCGAAACCAGCTCTGGATTTTGACAGCAGCTTTATACTCTTTCTTTCGCTTTTCATCTACCAATCTGAAAATACAAAAAGGAGCAAAAAAAAAAAGTAAGTGTAGAAAACACAAAAAGTAATAATAGTTGAGAGTGATAATCATACTTTTAAGTATTTCTTTTACTGTTGCAGCTTGTGATCTTTTTCACTTTTTCCACCTGTAATTAAAATTTTAATTCTGTATAATTCCATCAATATAATATACATTAGCTACATATCACAGAGATAACAATTTCCCCAGTAGAGGATTGGTCACTTGAGAGGCTGCACTTAAATTGTAAAGATTTTAGAATCAAAAATCAAAAATGAACTAAATATGGAGTAAAAAAAAATATATAAAAACTTTACTGGAAATGGGGAATAAGGAAAAAGAATATCAAAGAGACTCAGAACAATACATCAAGTATCCCAAGCTATTCTACCTAAATGATTATTGTGGAAATAAATTCTTAAAAACAGTAAGGAAAAGTATCACTTTAAACTACTTAATTACTATAGTGTTTGTAACTTACAGCTGACATAAGTTTTGTGTGAGTGTGCTTTTGTGGTTTTGAGTGTAATTTGTGTTTTTTTTTTCATAATAAAATGTCAATAACTGTCAATTTGATTAACTTAAAGTTATATTTTAATTTTCAAAATTTATTTTTTGTCACATTTTTATTAGGAATGCTTTACCAAATAGTTTCCTTTGTTGCAGACAGAATAACAATTAGATTAATATTAGTTAGCTCTCTAATTATCTGAGTGTTGTGTCAACATTAGTTGCCTTGGTAAACACTAACAAGAGTCATTTGTATCTGATAACTGAATATTATCCTCATTACTTGTTGACTACTTTAATGTCTCTTTGGAGCATGAGACATGAGCTCCGTTCATTTCATTGCTGCTGTTACCACCACAGCAGATGTGCTCCCCTATCCCACTACATGGGCATAAGCACAGGCTTTCATTGCCACCTGACATATATCAGACCTGTTTCTAACACCTGAAAGCTGCAGAAAACAAACTATCCTTTCACTGAGGTCACAAAACAAGTCAGCATCAAAGCTGGTATTTATGGTAAAGAGCTCCTGCTTCTTTCTTGGACCATTTCCTAGACTTCCCAGGAAAATAACATCTCCAGAAAACTTTACTCAAAGGTAAGTGATTTTGATGTAAAATGTATGAGCAGTTCAGCTCTGGCTAGGCAGCCCCAGTTACAACCTGGAAATGAAGGAGATGTGGAACCAGCCTTGTCTGAGATATTAGCACCAAAACCTGTCTTGCCTATTGTGAATTTGTTACATTTAAAAGTTAAACATAATAAGTATTTCTGGATGTATCAGAAGCACTAAACAATATATTCTGACTTGTTTCAAGATTTTGCTAACATCTTTGTAGAAGAAGTTGAAGACTCTCACCCTAAAGCACAAAGATTAGATCAGCAGCAAAAAATAGGAGTTCAATAGCTGGACTGCAGTGTGTGAAAGCTACTATTTAAATTTTCAGCTGAAGGTCTTTGAACTTCAAGAAGCTGATGGATTACAGCCTCTTCTTTAAAAGGAAACAATTCGGTTTTGGAAAGCTGTGCCAAAACAACAAATCCCCAGACATCACAGAGGCTGTCTTCCAACAGATCTCCATGTTTGGCTCAGCCAGCTCTTTCTAATCTAAAGTATGTGAAACACAAGTAGAATCTGCTGTAACTGATGCTCACTTAGTGACCTGCCGCGTGCGTGGCCATGAGAGTGCAAGTTAAAGCTCAGGGAAAAAACATGAAAGCTGAATGCTCCACAGACGGGCAGCATGCGAACTCTGAGCCACTTCTGGCAACGTTACAGAGCTTTGCTATTCACACTAATGATGTTGCAGTGGGTTTCTGTAATGAACGGGTCAGTGAACAGTAAAGGAAAATAAACAGAACTAAACATGTATCTATTTGGACATTAATGTAACATATTTAGTGACAGCAATGACATATTTGTATAAAAGGATTTGCAGTAGAAATTCATCAAATATTAAAATAAGCGTTAACATTTTTACTTTTTAAAATGTGCTCTGTGCAAAGCCCCTCTCCACCACCACCTGACACGGGCAGCACAAACTGGCCCACTTATTGAGGAATCCAGCAACACGTGGTCTGGTTACAGATTGCCACTCCGGAACAGGGGAGATTTCAGATGTTTGGGAGGAAAAGCATCTCTTTAATTTAGTATGAAAAGACAAAACTTTAATCCTAAAGTGCACAATCTAATCTAGAAACACATCTCATTTGTTAGCAGCACAGAGAATAAACATCAACTCACTTGGAAAGCAGGGGATTCTGTCACTTAATTTTAAAAAGTGGTTATCTTTGGACAGGATTAGCTAAATCTCTAACAAAAGTTGTGAGTTGGAGCCACAAGAGATACTTTCACAGTTCATGCGTTTTAAGGTGTGTGTGGGAGGTTACAGCGTATTAACTCCTTTGATAAAACAGCTCAGTCGCTACCACCCAAAAAGCCCCAAATCTCAGATGAGGCCGAGACCCAGGTTTTCGTCCTCACTGCAGCAGGGGGTGGTGAAGACAGATAATTTGGGGGTATAACCAGGTTCCCTAGGGGCACGGAGTGAGTATGAGGGGTACCACGACCCAGCTCTCAGGGCAGGTGGTCGAACAGGCTGTTACACGCTCGGACCGCAGCCGTTGGGAACG